ACTTAGCCATTTTTACACGTAGTTTACGAAGGGTTTTTGTTGTGATATCACAAATCAATATCAAAGCAAATAATAATAATAATAATGATAATGTATCTATATATTATATAAGTAAATTCTTTTGTTTTAAACTCTTATATTTGTACAACTTATAATAGTTGGCATTTTTATAATTAAATAAATTCGAATATTTTTGCTTTAAAATAATAAATACAACTATTTTTTTAATAGCACAGTGAAAACTATGTTGGTTGGACTACCAACGTCACAGTTATACGARACGTGCGAACAGATAGTTTAGGCTATAATAACCAAACAACACGCTAKTATAATGATTTATAATATATGCACGATAGCTACAACGGAAGATAAGTGATAACCAAATTAATGCATGGTTATGACCCCAGACTCGCCGACACTCGGCACTGAATCCGGCAGGTGTCATGTCATCATATTTTCTCCCACTTAGGCTACTACTTTAGTATACACGAAATTGAGTGGGGAAACCGGTCGATGCGCCGCCGACACTAGAAACGGCAGCCCTGATTCTGAATTTAGTATTTTTTTTAATTTTTTTTTAAACATTTATTGGATTATATAGTACAATCTGTAATAGTAGTTAAAATAAGCCTTTGAGCGGAAATGTACAAAATTTAATATAAATTTCCATTAAAAATTTCGCACTTTTTCATTTATAAACTTACATTGTTTCTAGTACGATTTTGATGATTTTTACAAAAGCACATTCTACACAATATTTCTGATGTTTTGGAGTTTACTAGGAGTAATTGATTTATTAGAAAATGAATTATGTCATACAACAAATTTACCTGTATTTTACACAGTATAAATGGGCAACTCCTGCTTTCATATACTMTACAAAAACCGTCGCGTCGTGCAGATATAATTTTTTACTTAGATCAAACGTGGCGCTAGATATCYTAATTGAAATCTACAATGTTATGCAGTATTGCAGTATATTATAAATTGAATATTAAAATAAAATCCACAGTTATACTTAATGCRAAAATTCTAAACAATAGTTCGTTCCGCAGTTGCTTTATGATTTCCGAAAATTTCGAATYTTATAATCATATCACCAAATTAGGTTTAGTGCAAACCACCCGTGCATGCATGCATGCTACTGATGGTACTTCTTTTTATTGTGTGGASTTTGGTAGTTTGTTCATTCCTTGTATTGTGTCTTTTAATGTAAGTTATATTATKTATGTGCCTTTTAAGGTCGCTGTAGGATGGTTCTGGTGTAGTCTTAAATTCAGAATATGTGTAAAGCGATTGTTTTGCAACAAAAGAATCAACCCCGTGGTTGAAATTCCTCCAATAATAATTGCTACATTTTAGTCTTTTTTACTGCAAATATAAATGTAAACCGCATTGTATACATTTATGTGTGGTTTGTACCTATTATGCTATGTTATTATTATAGAATATTCTATAGTCGCCACTTGATGTGTGTTAGGGTTTGTTGATTCGCTACTGCATGGCGACTGGAGCTGCAGATACAGAATTGTTCGTAAAAAATTCCAATAC